TATATATATATATATATATCTTGAGTCCTCGCTCCTTCATTGATTACGAATAGTTCGCGATTATCTCGTTACACAAACTCGAACAATTTACGTGTTCTCGATGTTACTTTGTGTTTGATATTACAGATCCCGACGTTCTTGCACATTTCCACCGATCCGATCGGTGTGCACCTTTTACAACTTTGCGGATTGCGAACTACTCTCGTATCACGTTCGATTTGCACATGGCTGGCCTCGCTTGTACGCTACGAATTTAATTTCGACGTTACGCATCTCACTTCCAGATATCAGATCTGTCGATAAAACTTGCGTTTAATCACCCAGCACTGTGCGCACACCTTCTTTTTTGTTTTCGCGTTTTTATTTCCTTTTACATGCACTCGAACGATCGCAATATATAAAAGCGATTGTCGGCAGTTATTTATTTTAGCGACGTATGCTTTATTTTTTCTCGAATTCTACCATATTGGAATCCTATCACACATATTCGAATTCATATTCTATCATATTCATATCATTTCTATTATATTTGAATTTTATCATCTTTTTATTATCATATATTTCATTATATCTGTTTACATACACGGGAAGAACGATTTTGCTGAAGTATCTAATAGAAGTATTTAGATCTGAAAACAATGGACTATCAAAATAATTGGACTATCAAAATAATTACGTAGAACGCTCAAGCTGATTACTAGAATAGCAACATTTTATGTAGCAGTTTGCTCATCATGCTTGAGTTTCCTACATAATTATTTTATTAGTTCAATAAAGTTATTTCAGATTTGAATCTATAGAAAAGAACGATTTTATTGAATCTACATTGACAAAAAAAATGATATTATATCAACAACATTATTGTAATTGAAAATAATCTTGTTAATTCAATAATAGTATTGATAAAGGAATAAAATCTTATCGAAACACACACACAAGAGCACATACTTGTTTTATTATTTTAGTATTGTGTTTGTGTGTGTTGTGTAAATAATTAATGTGTAAAATTAATAAAATTTTGTTTGATTAAAATAATGCTGTTAATATAATATAATTTTTTTCTCAGTGTAAAAATTTAGTTGCAAATTTTTGAAAATAACTTTTTCAGGATTATTCAGATAATTATGTAAGATGCTTAAATTAATTATTTACATCTCAAAATTTTTTATTATTATCATCAAATTTTCAATCAAAGCGTTCTATATAACTATTTTGATGATCTAACAAAATTATTTTCTACGGCTTATTCATCTACGGCTTATAGCTAAATTTTTAGATATTTCAACAAAATCATTTTTTTCTGTGTATCTAAATTTTTAAAACTTCTACAAACTCTTTCTGTATGTTTGCCATGATAATCCTATTTTAACATTGCTGCCTTTCTAATTACAGTTCCGCATCGAAGTTGTATAATAATTAATTAGAATATTAAAATAAATTTTTGACGAGAGGCTGTTTTGCATTGCCGCATAAAATCAATAATGTTCATGGCCATGTTTACAGCGTAGCTGCGGATATTTTATTACTCACTGCTCCTCAAATATTACACGTATCGTAATTCCGCTGGGCAGTTGTCGCTCACCAATACTAAACCACATCAAAACTGAATACAGCCTGGTTGGTCCGTGGCATGTATGTACGCTGACCCGAAATCAAATAATCTCGGTATGAACAAAGGCTGTAGCTGCGATAGCCAGCAACTTTCATACCCGCTGGTTTACATTTTCGTGAGTGCCCGCTTTGATTTTCTCTGTCCGTCTCTTGTAAGCGCGGTGTAGTAAAGAAATATCTCATTCGTTTTCTACGAGCGCTTATACTCCGCAGTGTTTTCTAACTGACCGACACGCGCGTGGTAGGAAGAGACCTGAATAAATAAATAAACAAATCCGTCTGTACATATTGCAATCGACGTATCGCTTTTTTTCCTCGTGACAGCGGCGTTCCGTTTCGCTCGCTAGCTATTTCTGCGGAAAGTGCGGAATATCAGCAACGATGGAATAATTGAACTGATCCGTTTACCGTATTTCTTTTCCACTCTGTTTTTAAAGCGCAATCCGATTGCATTCGGATTGCATACGTGTTTATGCGACGCGGAGAACTCACCAGATTTCTGAGCACGTCGTCCGGTACGTTTCTGGTGGAATTACACAGCGCCCTGGCAGCGCTGTGCGAAAAGATCACCGGCGCCCTCGTCGTCTGCAGGGCCGCCCTCATCGTTCTTGTCGAGACATGCGAGAGATCGACCAACATGCCCAGCCTGTTCAATTCCCTGACAACTGCCTACGGAATAATGAAATGCGTTAAAATTCATTTTGTTTCTATAAAGTAATGCGGCTATCTTATAAAGTAAATAGACGGATTAAGCTGAATTTTGAAGGGCGCGATAGAAAACAAAAAAATAAAATTGCAAGATGAAAGTATTGCGGATATAAATAGATAAATAAAACAGGTAAAAATGCAACACACGTCGAGAAAAATGTTTTGGTTGCATCAATAAGAAGTATCAACAAAACGAATTTTGATTATACGAATTAGAATTCTGGTTATAAAAAATTTAAATAAAAAATAATATAGATAAATAGATAGATAAGTAAAAAAGCTGCACACTGCTGAGAGAAATGTTTTGATTGTATTAACAAGAATTAATACAAATAAAACAAATTCTGAATCAGAATTCTAGTTGTCGTAATGGAGTTTCTGGTTATCTCGATTAGAATGTTTGCTAGATTTAATTATAAGTGCATGATCTGATTTATACCTTTCTGATTGAATCTACCAGAATTCCAATTATTGTAATAAGACTTTTTGTAATGCAATGTTTTACTTTGCCATTCTATTCGTTATTATTTCTCAAATATATCTATGGTATAATATATCTTTGGTATAATATACACACATATATTCTAGATTTATGTTTCAAAAAGAGAATATTTGATTAATGAAAATGAAGGGAATCAAAGTATCGTAAATATTTTTAATTTCAAAGCGATCGAAATGTCGGATGGAACGAAGTGCGTTTATTATGTACAAAAACACATCGGGGAAGGATCGATAGAGGGTAAGGGTAAGAGAAAAATATCATGAGAAACGGAGGAAGTTTCGACTAGCGAACGTTAACCGAGAACGCAAGCAATCGTCCATTCCCTCATATAGGAAAAAGCTGGTGATTGGTCGAAGCGCAGGTTTGCGGTAGTATATTTGCGATTCTGTTCTGCCATAAATGTTAATCGCTTTTCCTTATCTTGGAAATGGAGTAAGTTTAATTTTAAAGATCGTTGTGAGTTCCAACGTTATATTATACATATATTAGCGCATTAATTTCGTTCAATTTTCCGGATTTAGCTTGACCCATATCGTTTTTTTTAATTAACGTATCATTTAATTAATTTTTAAAATATGGAATTGCTAAAAATAATTAACGGATAGAATTGAAAGAACTGATTACGTTTCTTCGTTATTTTATCCATTTTTGTTCTTTCATTAATTTTAGAGAGATCATGACTTTTATTTGGATGTTCCTACGTATTTTCTACAAACGTCGCGAATAAATTTCGATAAATACAGTCCTGTCGACGGAAAAGGAAGTGAAGCGAGGTGGGTGGAAGAACGAATCACAATCGTCTCGTTTTTCCGGCATTAAGGGTGAGAGCTCACTTTTATCGGCGTACACGATTTCACGCGAATGATTCGAGTCTCGTGCATCGATAGTAGAAAACGATGCGCATTGTTTTTGCGGAGAGACGGTCTTTGACGGTCTTTTACGTCGTTTTAGCGAGATAGACGATTATGCGAATAGAAAATGATTTCTTATTAGTAGTATTAATAACAGAGCGAGAAACAGGCGAAAAAGCATGCGAAATATCGTAAAAACATGCAAACAAAGTCGCGGACAGGTTGAATGAACGGGTAAATAGTTACACGGATAGAACGGTTTTGCTGAAGTATCTAAAAATTTAGCTAGATACAGATCTAAAAATAGTTTTGTCGTACTATCAAAATAATTACATAGGAATCTCAAATACGATAAACAATGCTGCAAAAAGTTTTAACATTCTAGCAGCCAGTTTAAGTTTTCAACAAAATTATTATATGATTGTGAGTCGAAAAGTTCTCTACCATTTTGCAATAGTTAACAAGATTACTGAATTAATTACTGAAAATCGCCAAATATTGGTTTCAATAATTTTTTATTCAAATATTGTATTGGTTTTCAATAATTTTTTATTCAAATACAAATTAACTTTACAGAAAAATAACAAGAAACAAAAAATTGTTTATTTTCTTCTCATAGAATTCTTTCAG